AAGCCCCATATATGTATCAGTACCTCCCTATATTCGGTATTTTGACAATTTTGGGTACAATACTCACCGAAATTGTTTGAGATGTCGTATTTGAAGTTGGTAATGGAAACTACAGCCTGTGACAGAAAATTGTCTATGCAGGTCGAGGTCTTCGCATAGCTCCGGTATAACGGTTCTTCCCTACGTACGGTATTTTGATGATTTTAGCTACATTATTCACCGTTTATTTCAAGTTTCGAATTTGAATATGGTAATGGCCAACAAGGTTGGCACTAAAAAATACCAAAGTGTCGATCACCTCAAGCAAGCGCATCGCCGGAAATGGGCCAAAATACCGCTGAGCAACGTTCGGGCGTGTGACGGTCTCACTGGCCGTTTGAAGGCCATAATTCGTGTCAAAGGTGACCGATTCGAACAAATCTAAACATATTCTAAAATATGATGCTATTTCCGACCATTTTTGCTTTCATCCAATAACATTAAAAAAAAAAAATAAAAATTATGGCGTTTGTCTTTTTTATCTCACCCTGCATACCCTCTCTAGCCATATAGCTGAGGATTTAAAATAAAAACAGAAAAACATGTAACATCATTTTATGAATTCCGGCTCATCGAAGAATTTTACATTTCTTGTCGCGAATTTTTCAACCATTCACCATCCCCTGCCACCTCATAACATACATACCTACATTCTTGCATCCCTGGAATGTCAGTGAATATATACACATTTGTCATTGAACACAGCTACCTATTTACACACACACACACACACAGACACAAATCCGCTTCTTATATGTCTCATACAAATGTATCTGTTACAACATCAACAACATTTATTTGACACGTGTATTTGTTGGGTGACGAGTAGTAACAGCGACAAACGGTGAATGAGAAACAACAACTACAGCACGATAACGAACTGTAAAGACACGGTACACGTGAACTACAAAATATGGTTGGAGAGAAATGCCCGTGTGTGTGTGTGCTGGTGTTTTTTCTTGGTTTCATATTTGTTTTATTTGGAAAATAAAGCGACAGCCACTCAAAAGAAGCCCAAGAAAAGAGGAGAGCGAAAGAAAAAAAAAACACAGAACAGATCTCAGAACTCAATAATAATTAATAATCTGCCATAATTGGGTCGGCATTAATTACCTTGTTGCCAAAGAAGAGAGAAAACGCATTTTTCGAAATGGTGGGAGTGAGTGAATGAAACATATTTACAATTTGTTATTTTAGACATTTGTAAAAAGCGAATGGAATGGAATGGAGTGGAATGAATGGAAACTCTAAGGTGACAACAGGAATAACAATCCAAGCCATTCACACAATGTGTAGTCAAAGGAAAAAGAAAAACACCATTCATTCAAAACAATTTAGTTCTTTTTTTTTCTTTGTAAGGTTATTCTCGTTGAGAAACCTTAAACTGGATGTTGAACAAAACAAAAAAAGTAACGCAAAGGCGAAAAATGTTCACACTTGAAGATCTTACTTCAGGGTAAAAATTTAAAAATTCCATTTAACATGTTAAAGAGTATCAGTCGGTTTGCCGACAGATTGATACCCTCAGCGCCTTTATACGTATATTTTAACATGCATTTTAACATGTTTTATTATAACCTCTACCATACTATGGAAGGTATATTAATTTTGTCATTCCGTTTGTAAATCCTCGTAATACTCATGTCAGACCCAACAAAGTATATATATTCTTGATCAGCGTAAAATTCTAAGACGATTCAGCCATGTCCGTCTGTCTGTCTGTCTGTGTGTCTGTTGTAATCACGCTATCTTTCGAACGAATTGAGATAGAAGGCTAAAATTTTGCACACATGTATATTTTGCCATTAGGCAGGTTACGTTCGTAAATGGGCCATGTAGGTCCACGTTATCGTATAGCCCCCATATAACGGTACCTCCCGATATTGGGCATTTACATGATTTTAGCAACATTATTCACCGGAATTGGTTCAAATTTGGCATTTGAAGTTGGTAATGGATACTACAAGACAGAAAATGAGCCAAGATACCAAGACAGAAAATGAGCCATGTAGGTCCACGTCTTCATATAGGACCCATATAACGGTACCCCCCGATATTCGGTATTTTGATGATTTTAGCGACATTATTTAACGGAACCGTTTCAAATTTGGTATTTGAATTTCGTAATAGATACTGCAGCATAAAATAGAAAATGGGCCATGTAGGTCCACGTCTTCGTATAGCCCCCATATACCGTACTTCCCGATATTTGGTATTTTGATGATTTTAGCGACATTATTTACCGCGATTGTTTCAATTTTCGAAATGGATACTACAGCCTGAGACAGAAAATTGTCTGTGCAGGCCCACGTCTTCGTATAGCCCCCATATAACGGTACTCCCTATATTCGGTATTTTGATGATTTTAGCTACATTATAAACAGATTTTCCTTCAAATTTCGCAATAATTTATGACAAAATTGCCTGTGCAGTTACACGTCGTCGTATAGGCATTCGATATTTCTTAAATTTTAACAGAATTTTTAACGGATTTCATTTATTATTATTTTTATTTTATTTATTTATTTATTTATTTATTTATTTATTTTTTTTTTTTTTTGAAAATTGCCAAATTTGTACCAAATGGTGGAGGGCCGAACTTACAGCTTTTGGAGAAGGTACCAGAAGGGGGAGCCGGTATATCCCATTTTCACACCATAACTTGTAATGAATAAAATATTGGGGTGTGCGAAATTTAATGAAAATCTTGCCTTGCCTTTGTGGGGAAGATATTCAAAGGATTGGTCCGATATATCCCATCTTCACATCAGATCTTGTTTTGTTAGAAATATCGGGATGTGCAAAGTTTGAAAATAATCCGATGCTTATTTCGCATTTTATGAGCGTTTTGGTTGTTCAAAATTTTGACGCATTGTGGAGGAGCTACCAAAAGGAGTGGTCCGCTATACTCCATCCTTACACCCGATTTTGCAATGGTAAAAATGGTGGTGTGATATTTGAAGAGAATCTACATTATATATCGCAATTTATGAGCGTTGTAGTTATTCCAAATTAGGACCCTTTGTGGGGAAGGTACATGAGAAGGTACGTGAGATAAAAACAACTGCAAGAAATTCAAACGCCATAATTTTTACATTTTTTGAAAAAATGTCGGAAATAGCATCAAATTTTAGAATAAGTTCAGATTTATTCGAATTGATTACCTTTGGCACGAATTATGCTTTCAAACGGCCAATGAAACTGTCACACGCCGCCCAAATGTTGCTCTGCGGTATTTTGGCCCATTCCCGGCGAAGCGCTTGCTTGAGGTGATCGGCACATTGGTATTTTTCAGTGCCAACCTTGTTTTCCAAAATACTCCAGACACAATGGTCCATAGGATAGGTCGTGGTCATTGTGCGCTGGAAATGAAGTGAGGAACCTCATTTTGTAACCATTCTTGGGTGGCGCGTGCTGAGTGCGATGGAGCTGAGTCATGGTGGAATGTCCAAGTTCTGCGGCCGAAATGTTTGCCTCGGTATTTTAATACACCCTCGGAATTTATTCTGATGGCACGGTCGTTAAATACGAGTGATGGTGCACATTTTCAGCTGACCTCTTTGGTAAGTAAACACGATTATTTTGTTCGTTTACAAACTGCCAAAAACCATATTCGGCAGTTCGCCACTTTCGGCCAAGCGAAGCTACTCTTTAGCTCTTTTGAGTCTATTTTCTTTCTGTAGCGGTGTAAGTTCTAGCACTTTTTGGATTTACAATGGTTTTACCCCGAGCTTACGAGCCATTTTTCGGACACTACGACGCAGATTTAGATCAAGTCGCTTCTTTACTTTTCGAACCATTTCTGCAAATGTTGTTGTTTTCTTCCGTCCACTTCCTTAATGTCGGGCTACGCTACCAGTATCACGGTAACAAGCGATGGTACAAGATACAAAAGATTTACTCACATTTGGATTCTGGAGTGCTCTGACGATAGCCACTTGTGGTTTCCCAGCCAAATATAAAGAAATCACGCTTGAATTCCATCACGAATAACTTTTTTTTATGGAAAATTCTGTCACTGGAATAATTTTAACAGCTCTCGGACGAATGGCTTAGAAATGACAGCAGTCTGAAGTTCTGAAGTTCATCTCACCCTGTAGTCCAAACCTGACACGTCCCAATATTTATATCATATTTAATTGGGTCCGATACGAAATGGACAATATTAGCCCATTCCTTCGGAACTAACTCCATAGAGGGTCAACCATTTGAATAATCATAACAAAAGTCAAAATATATTGAACTAATCGAACATTGGCTGGGGGTATACAGCTGTCGGAAAAACCGACTGATACTTTTGAACATGTTTATTTTTAGAATCGTTTTAAGAGGCTACACAGTATTTTCTAAAGAACCAGAGGTCAACAAATATTTATGCAGAATATTTTCGAAGAACTATCAGGCTCTTGTTGTGGATTTTTTTCTGAGGAACTAAAGTTCAAAAAACGTGGAGTTTTTGGGAATATTTTAGAGCTATAATTGAGGATTAATAAGGAATATTTTTTAGGGAAACAATCTCAGATATTTTCATGAACCAAGCGACAAATACTTGGATTTCTTTAGGGGCACTAAGACTAAAATCTTTGGTTATTTAAGACTTTATTTGGGGAAATATCTGAAAAGAACATTTTCAATGGATATGGGGACTAAAATCTTTATTTTTTAAAATATTCCTTAAGGGATTGTGAGGGATATATTCATTGATTTTTTCAGGGACTTTTGGGGGGCTATAATTGTGAATCGTTAAGAATATGCCATGGTAGAAGAATACGGGCAGTCGCATCGTCACAACTGCTTGGACAATGAACTGTGAAACCGATTTTGGAATTGAAAATCTGTCTGGATTAAAAAACTATTGAAATTTAAAAAAAAAAAATTTTGAAAAATACAACCTCCAAAAAATAATATTTATTCCGCAATATATATTTTTCGAAAAAGATGTAAGGCACACTTTTACTTACCTGTATGAACAGCCAGGATGAGACCAGTGCCAAACTGCGATTTTGTCCACTAAAACGATAGTGGTACGCGTAGAAGGCAAAATGATATAAATAGAAGAATCTGAAAATAAAATTAGAGACAAAAACGATATTAGTAAAACAAGTAGAAAAACAGCTAAATTCAGGCGGGTCGATTTTTAAGTACCCTCCACCGTTTGGAAGAAAAATGCAAAATGTTAAGAAAATTTCGTCGAAAAATAACGTTTAAATGAAAACGCGAATATCTGACATATACGAAGACGGTACAATTTTTGGTACCGATACACAATAGTACCGATTCCGAACTTCACATACGAAATTTGAAACTATTTCGATTAATAATGTCGTCAAAATACCCAGCAAAGGAAGGTACCGTTATACGAACTGCAAATACGAAATTGCATGTGGGCTATACGAAGACGTGGACCTGCGCAAATTTTTGTCACGGGCTGTATTACCCATTAGGTGCTTCAAATATCCATTTCAATCCATTGAATAATATCGCAAATATCATCAAAATACCGAATATCAGGAGGTTTCGTTATATGGTAGCTATACGAAGGCGTGGACTCGCATATGCAAATTTTTGACATAGGCAAATATCATCAAAATACCCAGCAAAGGAAGGTGCCGTTATACGAACTGTAAATACGAAATTGCATGTGGGCTATACGAAGACGTGGACCTGCGCAAATTTTTGTCACGGGCTGTATTACCCATTCAAATATCATCAAATATCAAATATCATCAAAATACCGAATATCAGGAGGTTTCGTTATATGGTAGCTATACGAAGGCGTGGACTCGCATATGCAAATTTTTGACATAGGCTGTAGTACAATTATGAGCTTTAAATAAGAAGACGAATACCTGCATAAGCAAATTTTTGTCATAGGCTGTAGTACCCATTAGGTCCTTCAAATACGAAATTTAAAACAAATCCATTGAATAATATCGCTAATGTCATCAAAATACCGAATATCGGCAGGTATCGTTTTATGGTAGCTATAAGAAGGCGTGGACTTGCATAACTTTTTCACAGGCTGTAGTACCCACTACGAATTTAAATACGAAATTTGAAACAATTCCGATCTATAATGTCTTTAATACCATAAAAATACCGAATATTGAGAGGTACCGTGACATAGGAGCTATATTAAAACGTGGACCTGCATACGCAAATTTTTGTCATAGGCTGAAGTACCCATTACGAGCTCTAAATACGAAACTCGAAACAATTCCGGTGAATAATGTCTCTAGAATCATTAAAATACCGAATATCCGTAGGTATCGTTATATGAGGGCTATACGAAAACGTAGACTGACGTGACCCATTTTCGAACTTAACCTTAACTTAAAATTTAATTCTTCCGAGAGATTACAACAGACAGACAGACAGACGTACATGCAGGTACCTACATACCTACCTACATATTGACGAAAATGATTCCGAACTTCAAATACGAAATTGGAACAATTCCGGTGAATAATGTCGCTAAAATCATGAAAATACCGAATATCTTGGCGAACCGTTATATATGAGTACGATACTGAAACATGGATCAATTATCTCCCAGGGGGGAACCTCCTTGTGGGGATTTCTAAACTGTTCCATTGAATAATGCGGCTAAAGTCATAAAAACCGAATATGGGAGGTAACGTTAATGGGGGGAGGTGGTGGGCTATATCGTAGACCGATATAGTCCATCTTCGAACTTGACCTGCCTGCAAACAAAAGATAGATCGGTGCAAAGTTTTAGCGTCCTATCTTTATTTGTTATTACACTAGCGTGATTACAACAGACGGACGGTCTAGAATTACGCTGATTTTTAGATGTAAAATTATTATATCGATGAATAACAAATTGAATGACGAACTTAATATACCCGCTATACTACAGGGTGAGGAAACTGCAACAAAGTCAAATTTTTACATTTTTTTTTTAATTTTATTGAATAAAAGCAAAAATGTCGGAAATAGCATGATATTTTTGAATAATTTTAGATTTGTTCGAATTGGTCACCCTTGGCACAAATTATGGCCTTCAAACAGCCAATGAAACCGTCACACGCTGCCCGAATGATGCTCTGCTGTATTTTGGCCCATTTCCGGCGATCGACACTTTGGTATTTTTTAGTGAAAACCTTGCTTTTCAAAATACTCCAGACACAATAGTTCAACGGATTGGTATCCGGAGATTTTGGTGGCCATTGTGCGCTGGAAATGAAGGGAGGAACCTCATTTTGTAACCATTCTTGGGTGGCGCGTGCTGAGTGCGATGGTGCTAAGTCATGTTGGAATGTTTGGGACGAGTAGCTTAGAAATGACAGCAGTCTGAAGTTGGTAGCAGTTTTTTCATCTCACCCTGTATAAAAGAATCCTATAGGCAGCAGGACTTTATTGAGTCGTCTATGAACAGAAACCCTCAAAAAATCTTCTCCGGCAGCATTTAAGATGTTTTGAAGAAAGAGATCCAATAAAGCCTTCTACGAAAAACATCTTCTATGGACCGTGGGTCTTCATTTCGTAGAAATCCTTAAAATGTCACTTTACGGATAAAAGCCCTTCAAAAAAGATTGTGCCACAAAATTCTGATACAAAGGTCTTTCATAGACAGACACCTTAAAGAGGCTTTCTTGGATTGACGGCCTTTTCAAAGGTCTTACATACACTCTCTCACTCTCTCTCTCTCCCTCCCTCTCTATCCCTCTCTTTCTCTCTCTCCATCTCTCTCTCCCTCTCTCTCTCTCTCTCCATCTCTTTCTCCCTCTCTCTCTCTCAAATCCCATCTCTTTCAGTCCACTTTTTAAATTTTCGCATTTATGATTTATGGAAATAAATCGATACACCACGGAAAACACCAAAGATAGCATTCTCCTCTTCCTTCCCCTTATGAATGGTTTTTTCATCTCACCCTGTATGTATGGTGAAGGGTATAACGACGAAAATATGTCTACATACAAGTGCATAGCATAATAGTTGATCACAGATGATAACTTATTTAACTTCTTTTTCCACACCGTGATATCCAGGGACCGAACCAGATGACTGGAATGGGCTACCCAAGTGACCATTTTATTTAGCCAATAAATTACAATGCCCTTTTCCTGCATTTCATCCTTATAATGAATCCGATCTATTAGATACAAAAATTCTCCATTGCCATCCCTGAATTCCTGGGTATATCAAAATAAAATGGCAATATATTTTCAATATTAACCAAAAAAAAAGAGAGATAATAAAATCAACATCAACTGAATTTATTTTCAGCAGCATTTCATATTTTTTGCATATCCCAGCAACAACAACAACAATCGATCAGAAAAAAGGAATTCCATTGCTTATTAGCAACGCATGGACGTGAGCTACCAGCCAGTAAATTAAAAATATATTGTTTGTTAATTCGACTCAAATTGGCTGTTGAAAGTTCAAAGAAAAATGAGAGAGACACGGAGGGAGAGAGACAAATAATTAAGGCCAGTCAGTCATCATCCATTGTTGGATGCGATTGAATTGGTAAACAATTTTTTGTTCATTAAATATTTTTTTTTTTTATTAATATTAAAAATGTGAAATGTGAAAGAAGTTTGGACAGGTGGGGGGAATCAATGGAAAAATTATGGTGAATGGGGGGGTGGAGCTAAACCGGAAATTGAGTACATCTCAAAATTTTAAACATAATTCGGGCTTCCCGACCTATATATATACCAGCATATGACCTTTTACATGCATATGTATATGGTTTGTAGCGTTTACATCATACGAAAATTAGTATGGAGGATGAGATGAAAAAAACTGAAACCAACTTCAGACTGCTGTCATTTCTAAGCCACTCGTCCGACAGCTGTTAAAATTATTCCAGTGACAACTCATTATATTGTTTACAAGCGTACAAAAGCATTTTGGTGATAAGTTTACAGAAAAAGGTTTTTCGTGATCGAATTCCAGCGTGATATTGTGATTTCTATATATTTGGCTGGAAAAGCACAAGTAGCTATGGTCAGGGAACTCCAATATTGAAATGTGAATAAATCTTTTGTGTCTCGTACCATCGCTCGTTACCGTGATACTGGTAGCGTAGCCCGACATATGTCAAGGAAGTGGACGGAAGAAAACAGCAACATCAGCAGAAATAGTTCGAAGAGTAAAGAAGCGACTTGATCGAAACCCGCGTCGCAGTGGCCGAAATATTCAATATTCCATATTTCATTCGGCAAATATTGAAAAATGAGCTCGGAGTAAAGCCATTGAAATTCCAAAATGTGCAAGAAATTACACCGAAACAGATAGAAAATAGACTCAGAAGAGCTAAAGAGTTGCTTCGCTTGGCCAAAAGTTGTGAACTGCCGAATTTCGGTTTCTCCGATGAGAAAACATTCTTTTTCCAGCCGTTTGTAAACAAACAAAATGATCGTGTTTCATTGCCAAAGAGGTCAGCTGAAAATGTGCACCTTCGGTTGGCCAGCAGAACTCAAGCGCCGGCTATGGTGATAGTTTGGGCCGCCATAAAAGCCGATGGTCACTCTCCGCTCTTATTAATCGACCGTGGCTTCAGAATAAATGCCGAATGTTATCGCGAAAATATTCTGGAGGTGTGTTAGAGCCTTGGCACGCAAACATTTTGGCCACAGACCTTGGACATTCCAACTAAGCACCATCGCACTCAGCACGCGCCACCCAAGAATGGTTACCAAATGAGGTTCCTCGCTTCATTGCCAGCGCATAATGGCCACCAAAATCTCTGGATACCAATCCGTAGGACTATTGTGTTTGAAGTTTTTTGGAAAGCAAGGTTGGCACTTAAAAATATCAAAGTGTCGATCACCTCAAGCAGGCGCTTCGCAGGGAATGGGCCAAAATACTACAGAACAACATTCGGGCAGCGTGTGACGGTTTCATCTGCCGTTTGAAGGCCATAATTCGTGCCAAAGGCGACCAATTCCAACAAATCTAAACTTATTCTAAAATTTGATGCTATTTTTGCTTTTGTTCAATATTTGCTTTTGTTCAATAAAATTAAAAAAAAATGTTAAAATTGTGGTGTTTCATTTGATTGAAGTTTTTTATCTCACCCTATATAT